GACCGCGGAGGGAGGCAGTGCCCAGTGCTAAGGAACGGTTCTTCAGGCCAGGCCAGGTACCTAAGGTACTGTACCCGTGACCACTTCAACCCCCCGCCCCCTCCCCCCCAAAATTCGTGTCCTTGTTCCCGGTACCCGCCGCCTCCGCCGCCGCCGGTCGCGCTTGCATCACATAATTACGGCAGTGTCTCATGCAACGAGGCGGATCGAGCGTGGCTTCGGAGCTCGTCGCAGGTTCGTTGACTGCTTGGCCGGCCCGTCTCCCGCCGTTCAGTTAGTATATACCTACCAACCTAAGGTACATACCTACCTTACCTAGGTAGGTAGTGCACTTCGTAGCAGCAGGTCAGCTCAGCTGATGGACCTGCCTTCCAACTCAACATTATAAACCCTGACGACGACCTGCCTTGCCTTGGCCTACCTCGGCCGTCTTCCCTCGCTTGCTTCGACCATCAACGACGGCACCCGAGGTGTACCTCTGCAAAGGCGTCGTCGCTCCGTCGTCCGCGAGACCCCCGATTCACGCCGCTGCCCACCGGCATCGCTGCAGTGCAGCCGTTCTGCCTATCGTGCAGCGTAGGCTCCGGAAGCCGGCTCGCCCTCACCCTGCCTCCGTCGATAGTCTATCCAGCCTCTCCCCGACAGTTGGTCACCCGCCCGCGCCTCACCTCCTGTTCGGACGCCCGCCCCCCTGCGCGACGACCACCCATCACATCGCACCGCACCGCACCGCACCGCATCGCATCGCATCGCATCGCATCGCATCGCATCCATGCCGAGCTAGGGTGACACACAAGACGCCCTTCGCCGCCGCCAGCACGCCCGCGCCCGTACCCGTCTCCGTACCCCGTCCGCGAGCCCACGAGCCGCCCGCGCACGCGCACGCTCAACATGGGCCAGCGGAATCGCGGCCAGCTCAACCGAGCTCGCCTCGTTGCTAGCATCGCTGCCACGGTCCTCTCCCTAGCCTGTGGCACCAACGTGAGTAGTTTGTCCTCCCGCCGTCCCGACGCGACCGTCTTTCTGACTGCCCCTGCCTGCTGCAAGTACGTCTACTCGGCATGGGCACCGCAGTTCGCCGAGCGCCTCAAGCTCTCGGCCACGCAGAGCAACCTCGTCGGCCTTTTTGGCAACCTCGGCATGTACACACTCGGCGTCCCCGTCGGAATCGGCGTCGACCACCGCGGGCCTCGCCCCTTCGTCCTCGCCGGCGCCGTCCTTCTCGGCGCCGGCTACTTTCCCCTGCACCAGGCCTATGACCGCGCCGCCGGCTCCGTCCCCCTTCTCTGCTTCTTCTCCTTTCTCACCGGCCTCGGCAGCTGCATGGCCTTCGCCGCCGCCGTCAAGACGTCGGCCCTCAACTGGCCTCACCACCGCGGCACCGCCACTGCATTTCCCCTGGCCGCCTTCGGCCTCAGCGCCTTCTTTTTCTCCTCCCTCGGTGCCATTCTCTTTCCCGGCGACCCCAGCGCCTTCTTGGAGCTACTGTCCTGGGGCACCTTCGGCTTGACCTTCGCCGCCTTCTTCTTCCTCAAGGTGTATCCTCACCCCTCAGTCTACCATGCCATCCCCGGCGCCGAGACGCACCGCTCTTCCGTCGGGTCTGCTGGTACTCAGCGACTGCGCCGCACTTCTTCGGCCGAAGCCAAGGCGCACACGTCTGCGTCGTCGGCTCTCCGGCCTGCTGTGGATCCCGGTACGTCGCCCAATGCCGACGCCAGCCCGGCCAACTCGTCGGACCACCCCCGGCCTTCGCCCGGCCCCCAACTTGGGACGCCAGCACCGCCAGAGGAAGACGTTGAGGAGCAGTCCGCCGTGGTAGACGAAACTTCGTCGCTGGTGTCTTCCTGCTCCTCAGCCGCCGTCGAAAACGTTGTGGCAAGTAGTGTTGATATGGATCGGTCTCACCGAATAGACATCCGCGGCCTCGCCCTCTTGACCTCGCGGACTTTCTGGCTGCTCTTCTCCATCATGTCCATCCTCGCGGGCCTCGGCCTCATGACAATCAAGTGCGTCTCCAACCCCCTTCCCTCCCTTCTTTGGGTGACACTTGTTGACGTGTCTTGACAGTAACATCGGCAATGATGTCAATGCCTTGTGGAAGCACTACGATGACTCTGTCGGGCAAGACTTTCTTGTTCACCGCCAGCAGATGCATGTGTCGATATTGTCTGTTTGTAGCTTTGTCGGCAGGCTCCTAAGCGGTAAGCACAATTAAGCTGCACTTCCAGAGCCCTTTGGCTACAGAGCCTTTGCCCACTGGTCTAACGTCGACATCTACAGGCGTCGGATCTGATTTCCTTGTCAAGTCGTTGGGCGCCAGTCGCCTCTGGTGCCTCTTCATTGCCTGCCTTGTCTTTCTGACAGCTCAGGTGTCAGCTCTGAGCATCCGAAACCCGCACCTTCTTGGCCTTGTCTCGGGCCTCTCCGGCATGGGGTATGGTTTCCTCTTCGGCGTCTTCCCCTCCCTCGTCGCCGAAGCCTTTGGCATCCATGGATTGAGTCAGAACTGGGGCTTCATGACTCTTGCGCCGGTCATTTCGTCCAACATCTTCAACCTTTTCTACGGCACCATATATGACAAACACAGTGTCATTGGCCCTGGCGGCGAACGGCTATGCCATGATGGCCTGGACTGCTACCGAGCAGCATACTGGGTCACGTTTGCTGCCGGCTGCGCTGGGCTGGTCATTACACTCGAGACAATTCGCCACGAACGGGCTGTGCTTGCCCGAGAACTTCGTGGCCATGACTGAGATACAGCAGCACCTCGTTGCATTTGAAGTCAGTTGGATGGCATCATTGGAGTAACTTGACTAGTGCCAGTTCTTGGGAGTGTTGGCGTTGTTTCTTATAGATTTCGGGTTTACTTCCGCCCATCCTTGAAGGCGGCTCATGTTTCCAACACAAAGAGGGCACCGCGAGGTCTTGGCTCGCCGTCGAATTGCCGCAAGCCGTGATATGAATCTGGCGGTCGGTACTTGTATCTCCCGTGTTGGAGAGCTACATGTCCACGCGCCACTGGGACTGCCTTTGGTGTCTTTGCTTTCTCACGACTCCCGAGGCGGAGGCTGCTTAGTCAAAAGGAGGCGCATTCGCTGGATTCATCGCTTGTAATTATCACGTGTATCTGTACAGCCGAATGCAGAAACTCGCCGTCCCCCGACGTCTTCCCAGGTGCTGAACAATATGATTAGATCCCACGTCGTGCAACGTGCTCCACCGTGCTCCTTCACCGGCGTGGGGGCGAGGGAAAGCGGCGAAAGACGAATGCCAGACTATTCAAAAGAGTCGAGGACTATACGATACCCTAGGTACCCCAAACGGACAATTCTGCAATGACCCTACCAAGTGAACCCCAAACGCCGACGGAATGCAAGTGAAGCGACTCTGGAGCAGGCCGCCATCTTCAGGCGACGAGAGTCCCGTTGCCCTGCCTCTCCAAGCGCCGGAAGCGCTCCCAGCTCCCGTAAGCCCTAACTAAGAATTAACGTCGCTTGCTGTCGATATAAGTGTGGATGTGTATGTATGTGTATGTGTGTGCATCTGTTGCAGCCTTCGCGCCTCGACTGGGAGCGCATGTGGCTTGTCGGCCGGTCAAGTAGAGCCCGACTAGCCAGCGCAGCCGTCGCAGACGGAGCCCTCACTCGTAAATCCGTCAATCCGTCTCCATTCCACGTCGCCAACAGCCAAACGGCTCGGGATGCAACCGGGGCGTCAAGGCGTCTTTGCCCCCTTTCTGTCGTCGCCGGCGTCCTCTTCAAACATGGCGCCCAGAGTGGTCAGCGACCACGAGTCAGAGGTGGAGTGCAAGACAACGAGCCAGGCCGCCACAACGTTGACGAGGTAGTGCAGGACATAGGCATGCGACACGCCGTACACCGCAGCGCACAATGCTGTCCCGAACAGAAGAACGCTCGTAACGTGACGAAGCCAGCTCGGGATCTGCGGCACCATCCGGCCGGTGGTGAGATTCTCGACGAGCAGTATGAATGGCATGATGGACAGAACATTGTGGTGCGAAGAGAACGGAGTGAGCCAGTGGACAGCCAAATTTCGTACCCAGACTGCAAGGATGGGGAGGTTGATGGGCAGCACCCACATCATCAGGAGCAGTATCGAGTGGGCGTAATGATGGAAGTTGGTGTCGGCAGCCGAGTTTGCAAGCGTTGCGAGGCGAAACGCTCGGGCGGTCGTGAAGAGCTGCACCAGACAGGCCACCAGATACGCAAACTGGTATGGTATAAAGGTCGACACCAGAAAGAGCAAAATGGCCGTCGATATCATCCGCCTGCGAGGCGTGGCTGTCGAAGAAACGGCGGCCGGCGATGGTGCTCGTCGAGCATGGTCGGAGCCGTTTGCGCCGCCGCCGGCGCCGCCGCTGACGAGGCCATACATAAGACCCAGCATGCGCGTCAGTCCCAGCACCAGGTAGTGCAAGACTGCACAGACTCCAACGCAGACGATGCCAATGACCGGGACCAGGAGGCAGAACAAGGGGTCTTCGGTTCCGATCAACAGCTCGTTCCGCCGAAAGCCCGACTGTACAGGCCGATCCAACCCAGCCTGCCCAAAGGCGAGCCCGAGTCCAACCGTCGGGGCACTGCGGCCAAGCGACACAGACAGCAGGGTCAGGGACAGCAAGAGCAGGGGGATGGAGCGCCGCAGGGACTGGTCGAGGCTCTCTGCAAAAGATATGAAGATGCCTGTCTCGTCGTATACGCGGAACTGTTTCCGCAGCACCATGGTGGCCACCAGAAGCGGGAAGGCTGCAAACACTGTCCGGTACCGCATGTAAAGCTTGCCCAGGCTGCCCCATGGGTCCAGTGTGAGGCGGACATGAAGAGGCGAGCCGCATGTTGGGTCTGACCAGAACTGAAAGCCCAGCCCGGTCACGTCGTTTGGCTGCAACGGTGGCGGCATGTAGGGCGCGACGCCGTGGAAGCTGATGGGGGCGTGGTGGACATTGACAAAGTACTTTGACTCGTACGGCTTCTCCAAGAACTGTCGCACCATAGGTGCAAGTAGACTCGAGGGTCCAGGACAGCTGGGCTGGTCAATGCGCAGCTGGAAAGCAATGAGAGCCGAGGCCGCAGCAGGTACACTGACGTCGACGACCATGGGCCGGTCGGCGGGAAGGGTCAACGACATGCCGAGAGTGAGCAGCTGAGAAAGGCTTGTGTCTTGCTTCCGGCGGAAGTCGTCCTGGTCGCTGAACTCGGCCATGACGAATTCGTGACTAGGGGTCGGGCTCTGGTCCACGACGGCGATGAATTGATGGTCCGCCAAATGCTCCAGCCCATATTGCAGGTACGAGAACGGCTGCACCGGCTGCTCGCGCTCAAGGAAGAAGGGGTGCTCCGTCGAGGTCGTGGACGCGGGGACCAGAGTCGAGTCCAACGCGGCATTCTTGCATGCCAATTTGGTGGGGGAGCCGTTCCCGCCAGAAAGGTCGACGTGTCTGGAGAACTGCGGGCTGGCCAGGCTTGGCTGAAAGGCGGAGACGCTGCACAGGAGGACCTCGAGAGACGCGTCGTTGCCCGCGTCATGCAATGCGGCATCTGTCAACAGTGTGAAGCGCTTCAGGCCCGGGGAGCCTTGCGGGGGGATTGGGATCAGGTGGGCCATCCGCCTGGCCTGGTCGCCGAGGTTGCGTAGCACCAGGCGCGAGCCTGCAGGAACAATACGGCTGGCGTCATCCCCCAAGGTCAAGAGCGTGGTCGCTTCCCGAACCGGCAAGGTTCTCTCCGTGGCCGCTTCTATCCCGGGAAGAAGACGCTTCTTGAGCAGACGCATCCGGTCCGCCCTGGGCTTCGTCTGCGAGGCGCGCCCAACGTCGACGATGTCGTACAAGGCGCGGGCAACCACTCTTCGAAACTGATCGCACCAAAGGATTGCTTGGTGATCCATGCTCGTCCAGACTGTGGGAATGCCCGTCGTGAACACGGTGAAGCCGTGAGTGTCGGGTACAAGCGACTCCAGGCTGGCATAGTCTGATGGCACTACCGTGTCGAGGCTGCCGCCGGCAATAGAAACGAGTGTGACGTGCCACAGCGGGTTGTCGTTGGCCCATTTCTGCGCATAAGCTCGGCGCCAGTAGTCGTTTATCTCGTCATAAATCTGCACGATTTGCCCGTCGAAGGTCACCGGGGGGCGGGCGTGGGGCGCCGACATGGTGATGATGGTGTTGATAGAATTGGCCTGGTAGTTTGGCTGGACCAACATGGCACGGGCCACGACGCCACCCATTGAATGGCCCAAGACAATGATTGACGTGGGATCCGGCAAGTTGGAGTCCCGGTCAGATCGTTGCGGGTCAGAGTACAAGGCGAGGATATATCGGATCGCCTCGTTCAGGTATTCGGCCTGGTCCAGTAGGGTCTGCCCGTGGAAGGCGGTGATGTCCTCGTTGAAGTCGACCGTGAAGAAGTCGAGCCCGCGGGCGCCGGCTCCGAGTGAAACGCCATCTTGCTGCAGAACATCGTGAAAGTAGTTGGCCGCCTCGGCTGCGATCGGACGGACTTGCTTGTAGCTGCCGGCGTTTCCGGGGATGAAGAGGACCGGGATGCCGCGCAACTGGAGGACGAACCGCGTCAGCATTCACAGTCAGCCTACCACATCAACTTACACGTACCTTGCTCTCGTCATCGATCCCTTGCTCGCGGTAGAGGTAGAGGGAGTATTTAGTGGCGAAGCGAGTGTGTTCCGTATCGAAGTCGGAGTAGTGAATGTACGACGGTCGCATATAGGACATGCGACATCCTTTTGGTTCCACGTAATGGCTGACGAGAGATCTCAGAATGGCTGATAGCACAACGATGCCGAGGGCGGCGGTGACGAGGGCGAGCATTGACATGGACCAAGGGCTTCTGCGCCTCGGCTTTGACCTTGACGCGCCAACCGAGGACGGAGGGGCCAGCTTGCCCATGGCGAGTGCCGCTTGCGACAGAGCTGCCGGCGTCATCATCTTGCGGCCGGGTGCAGCTCCATTGTGGCCGTTTGGATGCATCCAGTCGACGCTGCTCTGACGCTGGCTTCTAGCAGAGGACGGCCGCGACTTGAGACCGGCTGGGGACGCTTTGCGGCTTGGGCGGCTGCCGTTGCGACTGTCGTCGTCTCTAGAGCGGTCGGCATCGGGCGCCTCGCGGGAGTAGGAAGATTCGCCGCCGTCATCGGTCGATGCGAGAGGGCGGTTTGGCATGGAGAAGAGCCTCTCGTGCGGAGGGGAGAGGCGAGGCGATTGCTCGGCCTCCGCTCTCCTTTACTCCCGCTCTCTCTCTCTCTCGCTCCCACACTCGTTCGCGTTTCCCCTTGTGCCGCGAGCCTTACTATTTGTCGGCGATTTCGGACAGCGAATTGATCAAGCAAGGGTGTCGTGTCGTGTCCCTGGCAGAACAGACCTCGCCTCGGGAGGTGTGGTCGGCTCGTCGACGTCTGGTGTGAGATCAAGAGCGCAATCTGTGTCGCGCGCCGACGGTGACGGTTTCATGCGACGACTGCCGGTGTTTCGTTCGGGCGGCAGCTGCGAGCTCGGTTTCGCCAAGCCACGAATGATGCAACTTGAAGCAAGGTCGGGCGGTTGACTAGGTATGTACTCGAGAGACGGCGGGTCAATCGCCTCAAGCGGCTGCGAAACGAATGGACGGACCAGTTGCCTCACCTGCCCCCAACATGTCGAGAGGGAGTTGGAAACCAGCAAGAGGCAGCGGCGGAACGGGACGAATGGCGTGGGAAACGGGGGGCGGATGGTTGGCTAAAAAAACCACCCAAGAAAACGCCGCGAGCAATCTTGGAGGGCCGTGGGACGGGCAGCGAGCGACGGAAAAGGGACGAGACTGCCAAAGTACATGGCGGGCGCGGGTGGAAGTGGCCGTTTGCGGTCAAAACAGCGGTACAGTGGAAGTATCGGGTGGTGGCGCTGGAACCATGCCCGGGCTGGAACCTCATCAAGGTGCAGTACAGTGGCCGTTTGTGTCTCGCGAAGCGCATTAGGTGAGGCCGGGTGGTTCGGGTACCTGGGATTCAGGCGTGTCCCGCCCATGGCCGCAGGTACCTCCTTCCCGCAGCATGGATCAGGTACTAGATACCCGGGAAGAGGTGGCGAGAGTGCCCACAACTCCGACCAGGTAGCAGGTAGTAGGTACTTGACGCCTGCTCTGCTCGACAATCTGGCCCTCCCTTCCTTGCTCCCACCCGTGGCTGACGATTGGCCCGCGACAGCGAACGCGTCACTCGGCCGCGCTGAACATCTCTTTTCGTTCTTCACGCGGCCCCATGCGGGTGCCTTCGTGTTGTCGTCGGCAGCGATCGCCAGACAGTTCAATCAAACTCCCACTGATACCTCGTTTACCACCAAGATCCTACCTAAGGGGAGGTATCTACGTAAAAGCTACCTGAAGTCCATACAAGCCTCACTACCGTACACTACTTATCCAAGGCACCTGAGTATTAGGTACCTACCTGGGTACTTAGTGCCTTTTCTGCTTTGAGGTGGTAACTTGGAAGGCACCTGGGTACCAACCGGCGAAACCTGCCATAACACAACCCAGGCAGGTAGCACCACTGCTTGGCGCCCACGCGTATCACCTCGCTAATAATCAATTTGGAACAGCAGCTAGGCATTATTCCCGACTCCCTTACCGTACCTAGTAAGGTGCCCGTAATATGGCGGTGTAATTTCAGGTACACCACGAGGTAGGTATGTCCGGACTGCTAGGGAACGAATTTGAACATGTCGGTACCTAGAGGAACTAAGGCGATAGGTAGCCGGTACCTGCCTTGATTGTCGCGTCGAGCATCTGGTCGTTCCCGAATACGTACCTACCCACTCAACATCTCGACCGCGAGCCACCGCAATCATCAAACACGCACATGCCGTCTACAACGCCAAGCCGCCGCACCATCAAGCTTCCAATCCAACTACAGAAGATACCTAAGACAGGTGGCCCCTGGAGGTAGACCTTTACTCGAGGCACGGCATCAAGCAGTTCCTTTCGCACTGCGCGTTAGGTAGGAAGTATACTCACCCGGTATCTCATTCAGGCCTCGCAAGGCGCGGCTTCCTTCAACAGCCACTTCAACACCTCCTGCGAGTACATGTGTACTGCGGCACGGTCTCTCCGTCTGCATCACGGAGACGCCAGCACCTCACCGCGCTCGCGCCGGCGATGAAGCCACCGTGAACCTGTGAGCGGAGAGTCTCATGTCGACCAGCTGGCCTGACATGTCTGCCACGATCAAGCCTATCGATGGCCGGAGTGTAGGTTGCCCGCGCGCCCCCATGCGAACTCCATCCCATGCCATTGTTTCCTGTTGGTGTCGGAAAGTCATCGTGCCTCCCGTACTGACAGGAACCGACCACCTCGCAGATCCATCAGATCCAGTCCGGTCAAGTCATCGTCGACCTCTGCTCCGTTGTCAAGGAGCTGGTCGAGAACAGCTTAGACTCGGGCGCCGGCATCATAGGTGTGTGCTGGTAGTGGCAGACCCTGTCCCGTGTCGGGCAATGGACCTGACGTGGTTGAACAGATGTGCGATTCAAGAATCAGGGCCTCGACTTGATCGAGGTCCAAGACAACGGTTCTGGCATCGCCCCTGCAAACTATGCTTCCATTGCCCTCAAGCATCATACGTCCAAGCTCTCGTCCTATTCCGACATTGCCTCACTCGAGACGTTTGGCTTTCGCGGCGAGGCACTGGCTTCTCTCTGTGCCCTTTCCAACCTCGCCATCACCACATGCCTCCAGGCAGAAGTACCCAAGGGCGCTCGACTCACTTTTGAGCCCTCGGGTAAGCTGCGGGACACAGCAGTCGTCGCCACCCAGCGGGGCACGATTGTTGCCGTGGATCGCCTTTTCCACAACCTCCCTGTACGCCGGCGCGAGCTCGAGCGCAACGTCAAGAGGGAATGGCACAAGGTCATTGCACTGCTCAACCAGTACGCCTGCATTAAGACAGGCGTCAAGTTCTCCGTTTCACAGCAGCCCACGAAAGGCAAGCGCATTGTCCTCTTCTCGACCAAGGGTAATCCTACCACTCGTGATAATATCATCAACATCTTCGGCGCCAAAACCTTGTCTGCACTCGTCCCCCTCGATCTAGACCTGGAGCTGGAGCCGTCCACCGCAAGTGCCGGAGTGCAACCAGAGTCCGCCTCCAACAAGGTGCGCGTCGTTGGCCATGTGTCGCGACCATCGCCTGGCGAGGGCCGTCAAACACCAGATAGACAGATGTTTTTTGTCAACGGCAGGCCGTGCAGTCTTCCTCAAGTTGCAAAGGCATTCAACGAGGTCTATCGGTCCTACAACTACTCCCAGTCGCCTTTCATCCTTGCCGATATGCAGCTCGACACCCACATGTACGACGTCAACGTCAGTCCGGACAAGCGCACCATCCTCCTTCACGATCAGGGCCGGTTGCTAGATCGTCTTCGCTCTTCACTCACGGCGTTGTTCGATGCGAACGACCACGTCGTTCCTGTCTCACAGGTGGCCGACCATCGATTGCACACAACTGTCGAGGCCAGTTCGAATAAGTCCCGACTATCGGCACTCGTTGGGCGTGAGACCGCGACGGAGGATAAGGTAGTCAACGATTCCCCGTCGTCAGGGGATGAAGAAGACCATAGCAGCGAGACTGGTCAAGAATCCGAGGACAGCCCAACCGTGGCCTCTATCCAGCCGAGGATTGCCGAAGACAAGCCCAGCAGGCGGCAAAGGATCGTACATGACCAGAATCTGATCAGCCAGTGGCTCAGCCCGGACAGCCAAAAGCCAGCCCAAGGACCTTCGACCGTTCCACGTGGCGAATTTGCTGCGGGAGGCAATGACCCTGCGACATCGCACAGACGCAAGCCGCTGCGTGCTCAGCCAACAGTATCTCTTGTCAGGCATGACCCTGAGTCCCGGACAGGAATATCCGTCAGTCCACTGGGATCACCTCGAGACTCTGTTGAGGGCCTAGCCGAAAACACCACAACCGCAGGCCATGATCGGCCATCAAGCTCGGACCACAGGCAGGATGCGATCTCTCCCGACCGCGTCGCCAAAAAGCAACATGCGACAATTGAGAAGTTACAATACCTGAACACTGAACATGGCGAGAGTGAACGTCCGCATTCGCCACTCCCAAAGCCACAGAGTAGGCCACATTGGCCGTTTGGCGGCGATAACTGCGCAAACGAGGAGCAACACAGTCCATCAGGTGATGATGATATTGCCGAGAGTGACACATATGAAGGGCACGTCGAGTTGTCGTCTGCGTCGAACTCAGGCACACCTAGGGTTGGCACGGATCCCAGCTTCAACAGGATCGAATCTAGACTTACTGAAAGAATGACCCCGTCAGAGGCCTTCTCGTCCCCCATGATGGCCGTTGCCGGCAGCCACCCGCACGTCCGTAAGGAGGCATCACTTATTGCATCGCTGGCGGCGGAGGCGAGCGAAGAGTTCATGCTATCAAGCGAGGGCGATGACCCTACTCATCGCAGATCACCCGGGGGTCCGGAGCCTACCACAACAGACCAGATTCCGCACCACCCGGTGCGACCGTTGGCTTTTGGCATAAAACGCACCGATCCGACTGTGTCAATCACACGATGGCTCCGAACCGATGAGGAGGCGATATGGTACGGCTTGAACCGTCTGATGTCAACTATCACGTCAGGGAAGGACGTGCTACCTGGGGCAAGAGACGTCGAGGATATTGCCTCTTCTGACGCGGAATCGAAACTGTCTTTGATTATCTCGAGAGGCGATTTCTCGCGAATGCGTGTCGTGGGACAGTTCAATATGGGCTTTATTATTGCTGTTCGCCCAGCTCCTGGCAGAGGCAACATGGCGGCAACCGCGGAGCATGACGAGCTCTTCATCATTGACCAGCATGCCTCGGATGAAAAGTACAACTTTGAACGTCTCCAAGCCAATACGACAGTGCAGTCGCAGCGGCTGGTACACGCCAGAGCACTTCAACTGACGGCCCTAGAAGAAGAGATCGTGATGGAGAACGTCTCCGCAGTCGAGGCCAACGGCTTCAAGGTTGAGATGGATGTCAGCGGAGACTCGCCTGTGGGCTCCCGATGCCGGGTGGTAGCCCTGCCGCTGAGTCGCGAAACGACGTTTACCATGGATGACCTCCAGGAGCTGATCGCGCTCCTTGGGGAGGAATCGGCAGAGTCAAGCCATGTCCCACGCCCGTCCAAGGTGAGGAGGATGTTTGCCATGCGGGCGTGTCGCAGTAGCATCATGATCGGGAAGGCTCTGACGGGTCACCAAATGAGTAACGTACTCAAGCACATGGGAGAACTGGACAAGCCGTGGAACTGCCCACATGGACGCCCGACCATGAGGCATCTCTGCCACCTCGACGCGTGGGACAGGGGACGCTGGAAACACGATGTGGCAGCAGTTCCCGCCTCTGTCTGGCGCTCGTACGCACGGAGCGAGGGGCTCCCGAGCGGCAACACCCCAGCTTCATCTCAATCTGTGTCCGCATAGTTGGCTACTCATGATGTTTCCATTTCATAATCGTATATTCATCTCGCATGTGGCTCGCCAACCCATCTGTGACAGCGATCGGCTTGCTTGCCGGTACATTCTATGCTACGATGGCAGCACGTGTTTATCTTGACAGCATCCCTCTCTCCCACGTCTTACCCCAAAGCAAGATGTAGTAGGTGTCTCATTTGTTAGAATGCCTCAAGAGACACGCATCATCATTCCTTCGCGGACCGTTTCGTTTTGAGGGACCAACGAAGAAGAAAATATCTTACGCCAGCCGACAACCATTTCCCATATATGCATCAGTCGCGCAAGTCAATTGAGCAAATAAAGCCAGGCAGTAAAGTAGTAAAGCAGAAACCAAGGAGCACGGTTTTAGCTGACGGCGAAGCCTCGTCGCGGGCCTTGGACTGCAGCCAAGCCCTCCTCGGCCTGCCTGCCACTAACAATCCGTCGGCCGTGAGAGTTCGGAGCATACTTGGATTCAAAGTCGTTGCCGGTCGAGACTTTACGGCCGCTTCCGATCATGATTGGAGGCGTGGCGGGCTTTAGATCGCCGTACGGCCTCGAGTAGAAGCCGTCTTCAGGCTGGATGGAACTGTTCCGCTGCCTCTGCCAAGGACTCGGCTGGCTCAGCCTCTGGTCGGCAATGTCCCTGCTGCCGCTGACGCGACGCTCGTTGCCGCTCAGCTCCAATAGCGAGGCCTGCGGCGGCCGTGTAGCAGGGTAGACCAGCGTCGCTTGCGCGCTCGGGGGCGGGTGAGACCGAAGGGGGTTCGGATGCTTTCGCGGCGGGCCGGCGGCCGATAAATCCCCAGCCTGCACATTCTCATCCTCATACTCCGAGTCGGACGAGTTGTCCAAGTTGTAGCGCTGGGATAGAGCTGTGTACGGCTGGCCCCCTTCACCATTGCTGTTTCGGTGATACGTCCTGGAGATGAGGGAGTCGGTCGGCACCCATGCCTCGGTGAACTTTGGCTTCCGCCCTGAATTGACGTCCAGGTTGGACGTCAGATCCCTTTGGGGCGAGCCTGGCTCCGCCGTGGGCAATTGAGCGTATGAACCGCCACGCGAGGAGCGAGGCATCGACGCATTCACGCGGCTTTGAGTCGAGCAAGCGGAATTCCGGGGAGATTCGCCGCCGGGGACGATCTGGTATTGCCTCGCAGGAAAGTCGCTTCTTGAGTCTCGGCTCAGCAGAGAGTGGCTCGAGCCGGTTCTCGTGTGCATGAATGGCACACTTGGGGGCCGGCAAGAGTCCACAGAGTGCAGGTCGGAGAGGCGGCGGGCATCCGTCGGCGTCGAGAGGCGCTTCTCGTCTCCAACGCTACTGGCCGTATTGACGGAAGACTTGTTTCGCTTGTGGAAGGGCCTTGCCGTCAGATGGTCCTCGAGGGGGTTCATATCCGGGGGCATGAGGCTGATCCGGCGGAAGGCGGCCCCGAGCCAGAGTGAAACGGACAGGGTGACCACGTGCAGGCCGCCACAGCCGACGAGGGTGTAGTAGGCGGCCGGGGCGAAGTAACGCACGAGGCCCTGGTCGGCAAGCAGCGTGGCCCACCCGCCGGCGCTCTTGTAGGCAGCCAAGGCGCCGTAAGCGTAGGCAGACAGGACACAGAGGTCGGCGATGCCGGCAAAGACCTGGTAGGCAGCCGAGGACGCCGGGGTACGGCCGGAAGCCTCACGGGAGAGGTGATAGGCGGCGTAGGTGCAATGCATCATGGAGATGCCGGCCTGAGGCGAAGTTCAGCAGCCGTCACGGAGCCGGTCGCGGGTTGGATATCTGCTTACCATGATGCGCAGGACCCATGCCGTCGCGGGATTGACCTCGGTGATGAGGATCATGAGCGTGAGAATGCCGGCAGCGCCGCAGAGCTGCAAGACTCGCAGCGCGAGCTGCAGGCGACGCAGCCACTTGATGCATGTCTTTGTGCGGCGGCCGAGGGGCACGTAGCTGCTCTGCTGGTTGGCGAGGACCAGGTGCGCGCTGTGCGAGGGTGTCAGCGGCGGAGAGGAAGACGGGGAAGGAGGTACGGACTCGGGGTGTCTGTTGAAGGAGACGAGCGGGCCTGTGGGCTGGGTCTTGCGAGGCTTGGGTTCCCAGCTGGCTCGCGTCACGGCCTTGGGGTCGAACGAAGATCTGGGGAAGCGCGAGTCGTTGCGCGGCTCGGCGCCGTACATGAAGGGCGGCGCCGCTCCTCCCATGACGGCGAAGTCGTCGAGGATGGAATGCGGTCGTCTTTGTCCTGGGGTTTAGAACAATGGGAGCTGGCTGGAATGCTTGACGCTGGGCCAGGAATGGCGGGGAGGGTGGTGGGTGGTGGGTGGTGGTGGTGGTGGTGGTGGGCGGTTTGAGAAGGGATGGATCGGCGGCCAGCTGCGTGGGCGGGCGAGTGTTATCACTGCGCCGCGCAACACGGGACGTGCTCTGTACGCAAGGTAAGGCACGTAGCTCGAGCCGACGATTGCGGCTTCGCTTCACCTGCTGGTGCTGAGGGGAGGGCAGTCCATGGATGTCGCCACTGCAGCCGTGTTTTGGCGCCTGTGCCCATCGTTCGTTGCCTTTGCGCAACCCACGGTGCGTTGTGGCGGCGGGCGGCGGGCG